CATTCTGGATCCAAACTGTAGCACGATGTAAATATGTAAAAGAGTAAACAGCATCATATTTTGCAAATGGACCCAGTCATTTGCCAATCAAAGAACAAGAAAAGATTGCAACTACCTCCTCTTATTTAGCATGACTCTAGAACTTCTCACCAGTATTCCATAAAAAGTAAAAAAATAAAGACCTCTTTCAAAGAAGACAAAATCATCGTTACTTGTAAGTAAAAGTCTAAGAGGATATATGTACTTGTACGCTATTTTAATGAGAAAGACAAGTCTTTCAGGAAAACACTGTAAAACTTTTACTAAGGGACAAAAGTCTTTCATACACAGGTTTGGAAATGAGAAGTAGATACACTATCATAAAGAATGGATTACCCAGGTCCACAGGCAGCAACCAGCCCTGCCCCTGCGTGTACTCCAGCAGTCATCCTGGAAGATCCCCACAGGTAACCAGCTCAGGTCCACAGGCAACAGCCAGCACCCCTCTCACACACACACACACACACACACACACACACACACACACACTCCATCTGCCATTCACAAGCCAGCACAGGCTGGGAAAAGCAGCGGCCAGCCCTGCACCATCACGCCCAGTGGCCACCATCAGATACCCACAGCCAGCACTGGCCACATCAGAGAAATTGTAGCCAATGCAGGAAGTACCCAGGACCCCACTATCCACTTGTCAGGAAGAACCCAGGAATATGCCAAGATGAAGAGGCAAAAGGCAGTCTCTGGCCCTCAACCCAAGCCGAGCTGGTCCAGGAAATGTAAACACGGGAGAGATTGAGAGTTGCACACCTGAAGCTTCTGAAATGATAGCAACTGAAGTAAAGAAACTAATTCATGAGGTCATAAAAGAAATTAGAACAGAAATATTATCTCAGGAATAGAAGAAATGAAAAACATAATACAAGAATTGCTAAGCACCTCTAAAGAAGACATGGATAAAAAAATAGAGGAGGATAGGAAAATGAAGGAAACCTTGAATGAACAATATAAAAAAGATTTAGAATACATGAAACAGATTCAAAGAGATATTCGGGAAATTAAAAACTCCATTGAAAGCTGGCAAAAACACTTGAAAGAAACTGAAGATAGATTTTCAAACCTTGAAGACAGGTTGCAGCTTGTGATCCTGAAAGGAACAATTTCTTTAAAATAATAATAAGTAACAATTCAGTGGCTGCAAGGCTATTTCAGCAGTAATAGCAGAAAACTTCCCAAGCATGGGAAAAGGATGTGATATTCAGATAAGTGAGGCATATAGAACTCCAACTAGCCATAATCAAAATAAATCTACACCCAGACATACAATTATCAACATCCCAGAAATTCAACACAAGAACAGAACATTAAAAGCTGTTAGAGAAAAGAAACAGATCACCTATAACGGAAAACCCAGCAGAATCATGACAGTCTCCTCAACACAAGTCAAAAAGAGGTAGGTGTGAAGTATTGCAAGTCCTGAAAGAAAGCAACTGCCAGCCCAGATTAATGTACCCTGCAAAACTTTATTTCAAAATTAATGGAGAAACAAGATATTTCCACGACAAAGAACAAATGAAGAAATTCCTAGCTGCCAAACTAACTCTCCAAAGCAAATTACAGGACATTCTAGAGAGAGATAAAACTGACTGCAGTTCCAGGAACAGCAGCAGCAGGAGATCATTAAACATGGCAGATAATTGAATGGAGGGGAAAAATAGGCAGCCAAGGGCACTAAGATAGCATGGCAGAGACAAGACAGTGCATGTTGGTCATAACCATTAATGTAGATGGTCTCAATTCACCAATAAAAAGAAACAGGCAGAGTAAATAGAAGACAGGATCCATCAGTATGCTTTATACAAGAAACACGTTTAACTAGAAAGAAAATTCATAGACTGCAAGTCAAAAGAGAGAGAACAATGCTCTATGTGACTGCGAATGAGAAAAAAGTAGGGGTAGCTTTCCCATCAACTGTAGAAAGGGTAAGAAAGACATGGCATTTCTATACAATGGAAAGCTACTCAGCTATAAAGAGAGAGAACCTCTAGGCTCTTGTAGTTAAACAGATGCAACTTGAGATCATGCTTATGGTTGAAATGGTTCAGAGTTACATGGGTGAACATTGTGTTGTCCCACTAATATAAAAAACTAAAGGAGTTAGTGGAATCCAAAGTGCACAGTACAGGTTGTGAAAGTGAAAGGGGAGGAATTGTCTAAAAAGGGAAGGCAGTGGCCATTGTTAATCTATTATAGTGATTTGAATCCCTATTGTTTTCATTGTTCTGTTCAGTTTGGCTTTATTCTGTTCTATTTCGTTTGATTTTATTATATTTGATGGCATAGACAGCTATTTCACAGGTAACAAAATATATTATGGTAGTCCTATTATCTTGTTTTGAAGCCCTGTATTGCTTTCATTGTGTTGTTTTGGTTGATTTTATTGTTTTGTTTGATTGTATTATGTCTGATGGTATAGGCAGCTACTTTGAGGATAACAAGAAGCACTATAGTAACCACTGTTGTTTACCTATCATCTTGTTTTGCTTATCCTGTATTGCTTTCATTGTTTTGTTTAGGTTGGTTTTACTCTATTCTGTTTTGTTTAATTTTATTACGACTGTTGGTAAGAGCAGTTTTTTGAAGATAACAAGAGCCATATGGTAGCCATTATTGATTTCCTTTTATCTTGTTTTGAAGTCCTGGACCATGTTCATTGTTTTGTTTTGATTGACTCTATTCTTTTTTATTTCACTTGTTTTATTCTCTTAAAAAAAAGAATGAATTACCTCCAACATCATTTATAATCTTAAGGTGATTCTAAGCAAAACCCCAATACAACAGTTTTGAGACTTAATAAACTAAATATCAGTTTATCTTCAAAAATAAAAGTAAGTAGAGATGTTGAGAGCATTATGAAAAGAAGCATATAACATGGAATTCTGAAAAGATGATATTTTTGTACAGCTGGCATGAAGGTAGTTTGTTAATATATATCAATAACTGCAGGTACCTCAGTAATTAATTTTAGAAATTTATAACAGAAAAGATGTGTTATATACCTCTACCAACTCCCCACAATGAACATAATCATTATGCACTGCAAACAAGCAGTAATAAAAATTAAAATTCAAAAAAATAACTGCAATATGCATGAATCTAAGGACCCTACTTAATTTGATGTGTAAACCTTCTTGAATAATAAAAAGTCCTCTTTCAGTACTGATTAAGTTAGCTTACTTGTATGTTCAGAATTTCACATAAACATGATATGTTTTTCCACATATATTGCAGTCTTATTCAGATTTTTTTCAGTACTGGGGATTGAATCCAGGGTCTGGGCAATAAGCTATATCATCCCCAGTCCTTCTTTTTTTTTTTTAACGTTTTATTTGAAACACGGTTTCACTGAGTCACCAGGTTGCCCAGACTGAATTTGAATTTGGAATAATCCTCTCCCAGCCCCCCAGAGTGCTGAGATTACAGGAGTACACCACCACATTTGGCTTTTATTTAGATTTCTTGCTTGTATTTTTTTTACATTGTCATCACTTGCTTAAAGTCCCCATAATAGAGATTTTACTAAAGCAGTTACTTCATAAAGTATCTTAGAGGTCATAATTGTTAACATAACAAGTTTATCAAACTGTAGTTAACCAGGGCAGCTTGTTCACGTTTGATACAGCGTTGCTGGGTCCAAGATTTTCAAAGCACATCATTTCAGTTCCAGTAGGACAAACAGCACTTATCGAACCTGTGTGGGATGCTGTCTTGAAGAATTTTATTGCAGACCACAAATACTAGTCCATATGATGTTAAGAGAGTTGTCATTTAGCTTTGTCTTGGTGGGAGGGATGTTATTGATCTCCCAAATGAAGAACTTACTCTATGACTTTTCATAGAGAGCTTTGTAAACCCTTGTTTACTGTGACATCTAATACTTGGAATCATAAGCTGGTATCTCCCAAGAATGATTTCTAAATCTGTCACATACATCTAAAAATATCTAGCATTGATTAAGGTCTTTTAAAGCTCATAGCTTCAATAGACAGTACACTTTTCTCAAAAGAGAATAATTGCAAGATTGTCCTGTAGTACAAGATATTAAAAAATAATAACTTTTGGGGCTGGGGATTTAGCTCAGCAGCATAAGCACTTGCCTTGCAAGCAGGCGGTTGTGAGTTCGATCCCCCATACCAATAAAAAAAAATAATAACTTTCTGTTATGTGAGTAATTTTAAATTTAAAAAATAGCTTTTACCAAATATTGCAACATATACAATAGTCAGACATACCCCATGGATTTATGTACAAGAGTCTGTATTGAAACATTATTTTAAGATAGTAAAACAAAGTCTAATATTCAGCCACTAAGTGTACTGAAACTATTTTACATCTTTGAACTAATGCTAGTGGCTCATTAAAGCTCTGCATTAGCCATGTATACATACATGTAATCCCAGTGATTTGGGAGGCTGAGGCAGGAAAATTTCAAGTTCAAGGTCAGTCTGGGCAACTTAGTAAGACCTCATCTCAAAATAAAAAGGGCTTTGTGTTTGTCTAGCATGGCAAGATGCTAGGTTCAGGACTCTGTTCCATCTCAGTAACAGGGGATGTCTGTGCTAGAAAAATATTTAACAATTCGAGGAAATCTCAAGAAAGAAAAAGTGAAAATTCTTATAATAAAACTGTAGATTCAGACGTGGAAATGGAGAGGAGTGTGAAGGAAGTGGAGGAGAGGAGGTGGAGATCACCAAAGTATTTTGGCATTTATCTTTACTTTGTTGAGATATTTGGTGTGGTGGGTTTTCCTGTTTATGCAGCTAATGAGCAGGGAGGCACTTTGTGCCCTTAGGCACATCTCCCTGTCTGAGTTTGAAGTAGATTTGCACCATGGAGGTGGGGGACAGAAAACAGCATAATGCATGATCCCTGTCCCGTTCCCATATGTTACCTGTTACGAGCATCTCTGTTCTCACACTGCACTTTGTTTCCCCGCCTGTCCGCAGTCATTTTTTGTGGATCACAACAGTCGAGCCACTACGTTCATTGACCCTCGCATCCCCCTCCAGAATGGCCGCCTTCCCAACCATCTGACTCACCGCCAGCACCTCCAGAGGCTGAGGAGTTACAGCGCTGGTGAGGTAAGGCTGTTCTGTGCCTGATGCTCAGAGGGATGGAACTAATAGTGGCCGAGACCTAGAGCTGCCTGCTCAGTAAGAGACAAAGCCATACGCTGTGTGCTCCAGAAGAATTAGTGACCACTGTGGGGCACCCATGGAGCTCGTTCTTTCTGCTTCCCCTTGGCCCAAATCCTCATCACTAACAATCTCTCTAGTTTAAAGGAAACTGAAAAGGCTGTGATGGGAGGTCCTAGGACTAAATACCAGACCTGTTCCTCCTGCCAGTCACACGTGAAGACTTACAAGATCATGGCATTTCTGTGCCCTCCATAACTGCCTTTGAACTTCTGCTTCTCCATAAGATCCTGGAGAAGACTTCAGTAATGTCTAGGGAGATGAGCCAGGTCCTGTGGACATTCTATTGCCACCCTGCTGAATGCTCTTCCCTGATTTTAAATCCTCTTTCCCTGCCATGGTTTCTGCTGAACCGTGAAGAGTGGGACCTTGTTACCTTTCTGTATGACTCTCTGTATTCCATATCATTCCTGTTTTTCTTTCTCAAATTAAAACTGACATCAGTCAATCCTATAGGATTGTGAGCAAATCCCTTCTTATGTCCTGACTCTCATTTCCCAAGAATCTGTGTCTCTCCATAAAACCACCAAGATCTCACAAGATGTAGGCTTGGAAAACCAGTCCCTGTAACACAGCTTGTATTATTGGAAAACAATGAGGCAACAAAAAATGAAAAAATGTGGTGTAGGGAAGAAAGGAATAGAGACAGAGAGAGGAGACCTATTGTGAAACTCTCGGGGAACCTGGAAAAATTATGACCCACCAGACAGCCATTCCCTCCAGATAGCAAACACTGGTTTCATGGTGGTTGTTGACATACTATAAGCAATTATTTGCTGCTTGTTTGAGAATAGTTCTCTGTGTACTCTCAGAGTCACAACTGTTTCTAACCAGGGGTACTCATGACTTAATGCCAGTGTGACAAAATGTGTTTTTCTTTCATGAGCCCATCTTAAATAGTGTTGTTTTAGGATGCTCTAAAAGCATGATAAATCTTTCTTTCTGCATATAAGTCAAGTGTGGCTTTGACTATGCAGAGAGAGAGTGTTATACATCCCTGAATATTATGTGGATATCAGGATCCTCCAGATTCTCAGCTGGAGAAAGCAGTGGCCCAACTTCCCAGCTCAGCGTGCGTGTTCCCCATTAGTGATGGCACTTTTGTAATACTTGAGGAAGTACAAGATACAGTATCTAAAATTATAGTGGATATTTTTGAAACTCTGCATCAACTTGACACATGTCATATATTTAAAATGCCCCAACTCCTTAATGTGATTGAGGCAATATCAATATAGGGCAACTACAAGTAAAGAACCAGCTGAGTACAGCAGATTTACTGCCAATAAAACAAAAACATCAATCACCCAATGGAAGATGAGCCACCTAAACATACAGATCTCTTCCAGTTGTAATGGGAAAAAAAGAGGAAGCAAGATATATGATGTACATACAGGTATAAACTCCCTATGATGCATGTGATCAATATGTATACTTAAAATGCACCAGTAAAATTTTAAAACAAGAAATTCCCCTGAAAATACAAATATGAAAACCTTTTCTAATTGAAAGCACAAGATTAAAGCCAGTGCTACCACTTCCATTACCTGTTCCAAAGCTCTAATTATGATTTAACAGCTCAAGTACGCTTCCTCTAATATCAACATTAATAGCAAAGTGACACCAGCATCAGCCCAGAACCAGCTGGAAGCCTCTAACGTGAGAGTGAAAGGAAGTAATGGTGTGTTAGCCATCTGTCTCCTTCCTGATGCGTCCTCTGCAGACTCCCTCTGAACGTTAGATGTTCAAACCTCGCCCATCTGCATGCCCATCCCCTGCCTCCTGGTAACTGCTGACCAACATGGAGAAACTAAGAAGAGCAACAGAGAAGCTGGAGGCTGAGGATGTCTGATCCAGAGGCAGCACAGCAAGGAAAACAAAGCTCAGCCTCTAAGAAAACAAATACGTGGTTCACCCTGCTGTGACAGCCCACACAGCTCAGGGGACAGAAGACTGGAGGGATTCTGCTGTAAAAACAGAGGAGGGACACCTGAGCCGTGTGGCCATGTCTGCTGTGATGTAGACTTGCTCAGCAAACACTTATTCAGGGCATATCTTGCTCTGAGCACTGAGGAACACAAAGGACTCTGAAATAGTCCTTTGTATTTTATTTTCAAAGCCAGGCTAAAAATACAGAGTCGAGTGACAAGAGAAATAAGAATATGATTGAGCACCATGACGGACATTAGGACAAGTGCCATAGGAGTTCAGAAGAGGACAAGGTAGGCACCTTCTAAAATAAGGTGTCTGACCTGGAATTTGGAAACTGGTAGCCTCTAGCCTGGTGCAGCCCCATCGACAACACAGCATCCGTGAAGGTGCGGGGCAGGTTTAGGGAAGATCTGTAGGAGACGGGGTCATTCGTGTGACCCACACTGGCTGTGTGTCGGTTTGGGGGAGCCTTGGCACTCCCCCTAGAAGAGCACATGGAGTGAATTTGAGAAATGTAACACCATGATCACTGTATAAACATGGGTGTTATAGATCATTTCACCTGTTGTTTCTCAACATGGGGAGACTTGGCGCTTAGGGTCAGGACAGTTTTCTGAGATGTGAAACTGTCCCATACCATTCCAGGACCTTTGCTTCCTGTCCTGTCCATTAAAGGTTAGAAGTGACCCTACTTCACTAGTCAGTGTGATGGACAAAACAAAACAAAAAAATAAAGCTGAACAGAAAGCCCCGTACTAGTCAGTGTTCTTCAAAGAAACAGAACCAGTACAACAAGTGAATACATGCATAAATGGATAAATAGACAGATGATCAGGGATTAATTATGTTCATTGGTTCGTGTGATCACGGCACCAAGAAGTCACACGGATGCCGTCTGAAAGTGTGCGAACTACGGAAGCTGGTGGCATAACTTAGCTCACGGCCCAAGACCTGGGACCTTGAGAACTATTGACTCAAGTCCTGCAATCTGTAGGCCAGAGAGCCTGAGGTTCTGGTATCCAATAGCAGGAAAAGACAGGCATCCCAGCACCTTTTTCTGTCTCTCCATTCTATCAACCAACTGGAGGCCCCATTCACACAGGGTGAGTGTAGACATTCCTAACCCACTCTGTGGTTCCGATGCCGGTCTCTGCCAGAAGCACCCTCACAGATACACTCAGGGAGAATGCTTTACAAGCTATCTGGGTGTTCTTTAATGCCATCACTTAACACCTAAAACTAGCTGTCATAACCCCAGATACTTCCAACTGCCTGCCAGGTGATTGGACCACCTTGGTTAAGAATCGTATTTTGTAGTTAAGCAAACCAAAGAATTCAAGTCACTCAGGGAGTCCAGTGACACAAAGCAGACTCCCTGATTCCCACCCTGTAAGCTGGCATCTTTAGAAGAAGTCCCTAAAGGCCAAAAAGAAGAAGGACTGTAAGAGGGGTTTGAGGGAGAGGCCATTGCCACAGTCCAGTAGCAGGTGAAAAAGCTGCTATCACTTGGATGTTGGATATTCAATGTCCCCCGGAGGCCTGGATAGTAAAATCTCTGTCTTCAGGGTGTGCTGCAGGGACGTGGTGCAATCTTTAACAGTTGGGGCCTAGGGTCTGGGGTGTGTGGGCTAATACTACAGTGTGTACTGAGCAAGTACAAAGCCCTGCGTGACATCGCCCGCAGCCACCCCAAATGGGGTCTTGTGGCGGGCCTTCACGTCGCTGGGGACATCCTGTTGCAGAGGATTATAAGGACCCTGGACTTCTCCTGGCTATGCAGTGAATGACTTCATTCCACCAGGCTCTTCCACCATGATGTATTTATTGCTCACCATAGGCCCAGAGCAGTGCAGCCAATCACTCAAGAACTGGATCTCCAGAACTAGGTGCTAAATTATACCTTTTCTCTCTGTATCTTGATTATCTCAGTTATTTTGTTACAGTAACAAAAAGCTGATTACCATAAGACCCCAAGGCAAAGAGACAGAAAACAAAAGTTCAGAGGCATAGAGCAAAGAGTAACTGGAACTCCAGTCAGCAGAGTCCCAGAGCTGGCTTCTCCTAGAGGAGCCATGTGGCTTCACGCATCTCTTTCCTTTGGGGGCCCTGGTTTTCTCATTCTCCCACGGAGGGCCACCAAAGTCAGTCCCAGCTCTGTGATCCTGTGTCTTTGAGGCTGGATTCCTAGTTTTCCAGACATAACTAAAAGTCAGAGTCCTGGTATCAACACAGGTAAGACAAGCAGAAAAGTGGATGGGGGAAGTTGGCAGGTTTGTCTTCAGAGAAGGGATAACAGTTACAACAGCAGGATATCCGGTTACAAATGACAGTTAAGCAAACAGAAATGAGAGACTTGAGAATAACAGTTATTTCCGTAGTTCACGATTTTTCCTGCCAGTCGTCTTCCAGATCCCCAATATGTATAGGCTATAGACCAGTTCAGGTCCACGGCCTGATAGGCCTGGGGCTGCACTGCAGGAGGTGAGGCAGGAGAAAGCAAAACTTTGACCTTATTTCCAGCTACTGCTCATTGCTTGCAGTGCCATCGGAGCTCTGCTTCCTGGCCTGTGTTGCATCAGCAGGACATGAGATTCTGAAAGGAGCAGGGACCCTGTAGTGAACTGCCCCTAAGAGGGGTGTAGTAGTGAGCCCCTGTGAATCATCCTGAAATCCGTGTAAAACTTGTCCTCCACTGAACCAGTCCCAGGTGCCAAAAAACATTGATCACTGTTGTCATATGCAACAGGCAGTGGAGAATTCACCATATGTGTTTCTTGGACCATCACCTTAGTTACCAGTACTTTGACATGACATAGCATATTTATAACACACATGAGCCCTTCTTTGAAGTATGACTCAGCAGTTTGTGTTTTAAAACTGTGTTACTTAAGGTTGTAATCAAAATCAGTTTCAATACCCTAAATCCTAAAAGTCACTGATAGAAACACTGCTAAACATTTTTTAGATCATTTTCTGTCTCCTGGAAATTCTGCAAGCCGATTCCTGAGTACACTTATCAGGAATACAGGACTTATGAATAAAAAGGTTATTAACACTTTGACTTGCATTTGAGTGCATTCACACATCTATCTGCAGTATATTTAAGAACCAACACAGCAGGCTTTAGCTCTGCTCGTAATGTGTACATGGAATTGAAAGAGTATGTAGGGCTGTAACTCGCAGACGCATTTCCCTGTCAGTAAGGAAATCACTAAAGGTTAACACCTGTGTTATGTTTTCACTGCTGTTAACAGTATCGACTAAAATGTATTAGGAAAAATAGGCAGAACACATCATCTTTATCAACTTAGCTTGTTCAGGTTAGGAAAATCAAAGTCACAAAAAATCTCTGGAGATAAACACAAAAAAGCTTAACAGTGACGTTCCAGAGAACCTGCAAGGAAGGGGCTGGCGAGAAGAGAAACTTCTGACTTTAAAGCAGAAGTCACCTTTGTGACTCTTGGCAGTGAGCTGCTTTTGCAACAAGGTCATTTTTTGTTGGCTCTGTAGACATGGAGGAGTTTTCACACAGAAGGCTCAGCTTGGGATAAGTAATTCCTACATTACTTCTTAAAATTGATACATGTGTTCTTAATTCTGTATGACCTGTTCTACCTGATAGGTTTTGTGGGAAGTTTGTAAAACTTGGACACCTTTGAAAATAAACTAATTATATTAATATATGTTGAAGGTAGGAAACACAGACAGTTGGAAAAGAACTTAAAAGGTAGGCATGATTTCCATCTGGGGTTGCTCCTCAGTGCATTCAGAAGTGCGAGATTGGGTCCTGGTGTCTGTGGTTCTGCTTCACCTTTACAATCGTCCAGAAGTCACTCCCAGGCCTCAGGTGTCTTGTGTAATTTTTTTTTTTTTTTTTTTTTTTGGTACCAGGGATTGAACTGACAATCCTGTGCTTGCAAGACAGGTGCTTATGTCACTGAGCTAAATCCCCAGCCCTATAATGAAAGAGGATTTTTTTTTTTTTATCAGTACCGGGGATCGAACTCACAACCACGCGCTTGCAAGGCAGGGACTTATGCCGCTGAGCTAAATCTCCAGCTGTATAATATTTCATCATATGGCTCTATCATCCCTTAATTCAAGGATTTGTGTGTACCTTATATTCTTGCCCACTTTTCACTGCTCCATGAAATGACCCAGTATATCCAACAACCCCTATGTGGATCCATTTGGTTGGTTTTGTTTGATGGTACTGGGGAAGGGCCTTCCAGAGTCCTGAGCCATGTACTCTGATCAGTTTATTTAATTATTTGTTCATTCATTCATTTATTAATTTACCCATTTATTTAATTTCTTTAGAGATAGGGTATTTTAAGTTGCTAAGTTGCCCAAACTGGCATCAAACTTGGCATCTTCCTGTCTCAGTTTCCCAGAATGCTGGGTCTGCTGGTGAGAACCACTATCTCTGGCTGAGAACTTCGTGAATGGTCTATTTGTAAAACACAAGAGGTATCTAGAGATTATGTAAATTCGACTGAGCCTTTCCCTTGATTCCATTTTTTCAAGCCTCAGCTCTCCAGTGTTTTCAGAGAGGGGATTAGCTTATCATTAGCCAGATGCTGTCTATGCCCCGCACTTTTCAATCACAGCTTTTAAAGAGCGTATTGGTGTACACGCCTGCATTGCAGAGCTGAGAGAAGCTAATATGCCAGTCACTGGAAACTATGTTTTGAGGGTGACAATTTTGTTTTGTCTGGAAAGCTAAATGTCTGAAGTTTTCACATTTACAATTGTGATTAAAACGACCAACATATAAAAATTAAAAGCAATCCTAAAAGTAGTCTCTACTTAGCCAATCATAGAATAACCAATCATAGTATGTCTATGGGAGAGGTAGGCCGCTAGGGAACATTCTGTCTGCCTCTGTCTGTCTGTCTGTTTCTCTCTCTCTTTCCCTCTCTGTCTTTCTCTCTTCTTTTTCCTCTTTCTCTCCCTCTCTCTCTCTTGTCTCTCGCTCACACACAGACACACCCTGAGAAACTCAGACCCAAAGGCCCAAACACCAGGAAATTCGAGTCACATATTGTTAATGTTAAGTGAAAATTTCAGGCTTCTAGGCATCTTCAGCAGTTACAAAAGCAATGTTGGCATTGTGTTTGCAGGGAAACCCAAATCAGTTCCTTGGGATGGATTGTTTAAACCATGGCAGGGCTAGAGAACCCTAGAACATCCTAAATTCTAGCTCATTTTTACAATTCCCAGAGTTTCCCAAAGGCTTGACTGAAGCTGACTTCCTCTCAGTCAGTTCCTGGGCCCTTGGTTGCAAAATGTCCCACCATGCTAGGCTCTGGACTCTGGGCTATCCAGCCCTTGGCAGGTGTTTCTGTGGCTCGGGGAACCTCAAGCCATGTGTTATTTCCTCCAGCTCATTCAGAGTTGACCTGAAGCATATTTGTCAGTCTGCTTCTGGGATTGTTTTACTTGATCTGGATTCTGAATTTCCCAATCCAATTTAGTTCTACAGTGACCTCAGAAGTAGTCGCCATTTTCCCCTAAGCTTATTACAACACAGGAAAGACTTTCCTTTGAGAGCTGGCATGAGAAGGGAGCTCTTCCTGTTTCAGAACCCTGTTCACTTTGGGGTGACCCACTAGACAATTTCACTTGAGGTGAGACAACAGGGGTCAGTTGAGTTCAGTGCACCAGGCTCTTCAAACTCAGACTCCAGATTACCCACATCTCGCATTTCTCTCTGTAAATAATCACTTAGGTGTTCAGTTGAGTGACCTTTGAGAATTTTGTCTTTCCATTATCAGTCACACTTTTAAACACACATTAAGGTGGACCTTACAGTTCTGTTCCAGACAAATTTTACACATTAATTAATTTATGAAGCAAAAAGAGAAGTGTGGGGACTCCATTCTGTATAGTTCATTAATCAGTAAACTCTTCACCCCTTTGTGCTATAATCGTTTAGCTGAGATGAGAAAGAACTTTTGCAGAAATAGCAGCTTCCAAACCATGCATAGTGACACATGCCCATCATCCCAGCACTCCAGAAGCTGAGGCAGGAAAATCACTTTAAGTTTGAGGCCAGTCTGGGCTACATAGTGAGTTCAAGAATAGCCTGAACTACATAGCAAGACCCTGAGGTCTCAGAAAATAAAACAGCAAAAACATCTTAGTGTCTGGCTGGGCAGAACTGAATGCTAATGACAGCGAGGTGAAAAATTTCCCAAATTGACACTTGGGCTTTTTCAGTGTCTATCAAGTGAGCCATGGCCAGTGAGAAAGACAGGAGAGAAAGAAGGTATATCCCCTCAAACTCCCAGAGAAGCAGTAAAGGCTGCCATCTACAGATAATGGAATGGTAGCACATCTCTGTTTACAAAGATGCTATTCTTAGTGTGAAGTGTGAAAACAACACCTAAAGGAATACTGGCAATTACCATGTTTTTCATTAGAAACGGTTAAGTTATTTGTCCAGCACTGTCACTCACACTATCATAGATGGTCCAGTCTTAACTGACCATTGTGAAGCTGACTTGACCTTTCTAGACTGCATGCCACAGGTTTTCATCGGCTCTCCTGAATTCTGAGTAAATTTTATACTTGTCTCAGAGGGAGAATTTTCTTTTCTGTTTTATCTGTATATTTGAACTCTTAGAAATGTCTTATAACATTGTCTTCAAAATTCTTAAATATCCTTATGCCCATTTTGTCATACTTTGTCCAACACCACATAGATTGAGTCACAGTGTACACTAAATACTATTTGTCTGGTAGATGAAAGCCAACATGAGAAATCTGTAGTGCCCCAGTTTTAAAGTCTTACTCCTTTTTTTTTTTTTTTTTGGTATCAGGAATTGAACTCAGGATCTCACGCTTGCCAGGCAGACACTGTGCTGCCAAGCTATATACCCCACCCTAATGCCTTACTCTGTAAGACACTGCAGAATAAAATATATATGGAATTGTGTTAGAAAATTTATTATCATGATCTAGAATTTATAGGACTTATTAAAATTTAAAACTAAGCCAAGTTAGCATTATCATCACAAATGCCAATTTTAGACTACATAAATTGTTCATTCCATGAAGTTCTGTCACATGGGTGAAGGCTGGAAGCACCATCGCTGTAAACAAATGCTTTATATCAGCAAGTTAGCTAGAATCCGAGTTCTCTATCTTAGAGTTTTAAATTTGGGCAAACTTTCTTTTCTTGGGACCTCAGATTCTGTGTTTGTAAGTTCAGTTTCATCGTGCTTCTCTTGAAAAATTTGTGAAGCTATGAGAAACTCAGTATGTCAATTTTAAAATTCATTAAATCCCCCAAGTTCTAAATCAAGGGAGTGAATTTTCTGTCATGAGACCATAGGCACTCAAAAAAGAATTCCCTTTGAGAGTTGCCAACCCTTTTCATAAGAACAAGTCCATACCTCTTCAGCACTGAAGTTCAGTGCCTCTTGGAAAGGACAGTATTTATGTGGAATTTATGGCTCACATAGTTCTGATAACAACTATTTCTTAGTCTATTCAGCTTATTAACTTAACAGCATCCACAATATTTGACACAATCACTTTCTTAACCAGAGTACAACACATCAGCCAGTCATTTTTAAAGAAACTTGTTTATTCTTTCTTTAGTTGGAAGATCATAACTTTTTTACTTTTTAAAAAAACTTAGATGATGTCAGCATTATTTACCACTCATGTTAAGAAATTATTACAAAAAGATCATCTGAAATTGATGATGGATTTTTAATCTCACACTTTTATTTTAAATCTAGGCCTCGGAAGTTTCTAGAAACAGAGGAGCCTCTTTACTGGCCAGGCCAGGGCACAGCCTGGTAGCTGCAATTCGAAGCCAACATCAGCATGAGTCATTGCCTCTAGGTATGTATTCGTGCTTTGAACCTCTGGACACCCCGTATTTTGCCTTGTTTTCTTGACTCATCTAATATTCAAGAGTGTATTTTCTCTCTCTCTGCTGTTATGATATTTCCTCCCCAACCTTTCACTCCCATTTCCTTTTGTCCTTTTCCTCTTCCTTCCCCTTCTCGCCTTTCTCTACTCTTCCAAGACACACCCTCCCTTCTTCTTTATCCCATTCTATGGTTTTTTGGCTCCATCCAGAAGAGCATTGTTGAAGTAGAATAATGAACCTCACTGTTGCCAGATGCAGTTTTAAGTTTACACCTCTCTTTCCACATATGTGTGAGGAGAGCTTGCATGGTATTTACACCTAACCTCAGCTACCAATTTCCAGAACGCAGACCACTGTCTCAAGGGAAAGTGAGGCAAAAGTCTTGCATCGTGGGTATTTCCATCATCACCACAGGGAAATCAGCACCAGCCGTGGCTTGTATCAGGTGCACGGGAAAGATTTCTTTGAACTCATGAAGAATCTTCTGCCAAAATAACTGTGGCAAGAAACATTAGAAGCGTGAGCAATATCTCTCTGAAGAGCTATTTTAGTCTCCTTACCTGTTTACACAGAGATTAGTTAACACCTACTTAAGTACTGGACTTATCATTGATGATTACTTTGGTCTCGTTCACCTTTCATTTGATCATTCAGACATAATAATGCTATTATGTGACATTCAAAAAATGCAAGAACTTGCTTTTTTTTTTTTTTTTTTTTTTTTTTTTTCTTTTTTTGTGTGAGTCCTTCAGAGTTCTACACTAGTTCTGGTATCAAGAAGAAAGTTTCCAGACATCAGAGAAATGATCTCTGGGCTGCGGACTGAACCACAACTTTGCACTTTTGTGTTTCAGCATACAATGACAAGATCGTGGCATTTCTTCGCCAGCCAAACATTTTTGAAATGTTGCAGGAGCGGCAGCCAAGCTTGGCAAGAAACCACGCACTCAGGTACAGCTCATCCCTCGCCCCTGGGTCTCCACCACTGCGGGCGAGAAAATACCTCTATGAAGAGAGAGAACAGAAGTATAGGAGCCTTTTTATTCTTGCATTTAAATTCTAATTTGAGGGCCAGGGATGTAGCTCAGTGACATGGTGCCTGCCTGACAAGGATGAGGTCATGAATTTGACTTCTGGTACCTCCACAAAAAATTCTAATTTAAATCTTCAAAACGAGAAGCCCAGAGCTAACAGTGTTCTGGGAATTGACACAGATACAGTCATATTGTTGAGTTATATTTTACTTTTGTGATGTTGAGGTGATACCCATTCATTTTGAGGAAAACACAGAAAAGGAACAGCAGAGTTTTCATTTAAAAAAATTGTCCATGGTGGCAATGCCCTATAATCCCAGCACACAGAGAAACTGAGGCAGGAGGGTCACATGTTTTGAACCCAGTCTTGGCAACTTTGGAACCTGGTAGGATTCTGTCTCACTATAAAAAATTTTAAAAGGGACTGAGGATATACTTCAGTGCAACACCCTGGGTTTAAGCCCTAGTATCACAGTAAATAAACAAAATTTGTGCAAAGCATTATAAAATTGTTCTGATTTTGAGGTACAGTTGCTTAACGGTAAACCAAATACAGTTGCTTAATGGTAAACCAAATACATAGGTAACACACTCGAACCAAAAAGCAAATACGAAGTTCAGTGGTACCTCAGTTCACAAACTTTGTTCTTTCTACAGTTCTGGTGGCAAACCAAGTTGGATGAGAACTGAATCAGACTCAGTGGTGAGGTTCAGAGTTGACTTGATGGGGAAATTTAATTCGGTTCCCATCCAGTTTGGTTTGTGACCAGAATCATGGAGAGAACTGAGTTCATAAACCGAGGTACCTCTGTATCATATATGCTCTAACTACTTAACTCCTGGTGTCCATTAGAGTCATTTTTGAAACTCCAGTTTGCTTCGTTTGAGCAGGCTTGCTGCCTAAGAAAAATATCCCCCACATTCCATCTTGTGTTTTCACAAAGAAGTTCAAATTCCTCCATCCTGCAGTGTTCACCCTGCTCAGGGGTTAAGGGTGTCCCCACCGTGGGACTGGAACTTCACTCCCAGCCCGGGGCTCCTGAGGCAGGTGTGTTATTCATCTTCTCACTACTGACAAGACTTCCAGTGTGGGCAATTTTGAGATGCTTAAATGGGGATGTGTAGATAGCAGTAGGCAGGCAGGTGAGAAGCCTGTCCTGTCCGGTGATGGCCTTTTCTTCTTCCTTTCCCATCTGGTGGGCTTACAGATCTGGCTGGTCCCTGACCACCTGCTGCCCTTCCATCGTGATGTCAGGTCCTTGCCACCCTCTCCAGGTTGTTTGATCACTCTTCTTTCTTCTCCACACCCCGTATTAACACTGCTTTCCCCTGCGGTTTTACTCTGTGTGAATCGGACCCACCAGCCCCTCAGCCCCTCAGCCCTCTCCTCTGCTCCTCCCTCCCAGGTAAGAATTCACCTCTGCACTTTCCCTTCTCAGCTCCTTCTTCTGGCTGTGGCCCAGCTTGGGATCCTTTCTCCTCTGCACTTTACAGGGGTCTCTCGTAAGATCTCCATGATCACCCTCACGATGGCCAGTTACTTTCTGATCAAATCGTGTCCTCCCACTGCCTTTAAAAAGAGACTCCACAAAAAAGGAAATAAATAAGCACAGCATCCGTCGGGGCCTGCAAGGTCTGGCCCTCACCTAATTCTCTATCCTGAGTTCGTTTGACCCCTCGGTGTCTTCCACCCACACCAGACAGCCTGTGTTCTCTCCAGCCTTTGGCCTTCTCAGAATGGCTTTTCTGTCGTCTTTGGTCCCATTTTAAAGACACAGTTCACATTTAAAGGCACAAAAACTCAGTGATCCAGGCAGACTTCAATATTTCTTTTGTCTGGCTTTCATAGCATTCACTTCGTGCCAATAAGAGAAATTTAGATCTCTTGTATTCTGTCATTTACTGTGTCTCTGTATACACTGTCAGCTCTTTGGAGAAGGACATAATGTCTTCTTTGCCTTTGTATCTGCTCCGCCCGTCAGAACTTGATCCTCTACTTTTAGGTGAAAATAGGAAATGCTAATTACTTTTAGAGTAAATAAAAGACCTCTATCGTGAACACATCAAGTTTAGCATGAGAAATTATCGCCTTCACTGACACATCTTACACAGGAAGTTTAGCATAAGACATTATTATCACTCTCACGTGTGTTGAAGGGGTTTCAGTTTATTTTAAATACAGTGGGAATTGAACCTAAGGCCTCACTCATGCTAGGCATGTAATGTACCTCTGACTGTACCCCCAATCCCTGATCAACTCTTAAAAATTGCTTGCTTGAGTTTTATTACTGTACCACAGAGGGCAGTGGCTTACCTGGTCTGGTGGGTCATTTGTCCAAGGGTTGCCCTTTCAGTAATAGTACATAACAAAGTATGGGAATTTTCAAGGGTTTTTCAGGGAATTGTGTCACCTGAAGAGATACGTATGTGTCGGCTCTTGAATACTTTTTGTTATTGATTCTATCACTAAGTAGTAAGTTCACTGCTTGTGAGTTGTTTTGCTTGAATACTTTAGACTCACCAAAAGGCCTGGGGATATAGCTCAGCAGCTTGGTACCTGCCTGGCAAGTGTGAAGTCTTGAGTTAGATTCCTAGTACTAAAGAAAAGGAAAAAAAAAAAAAAGAAAACCTCACCAAAAGAACTACAGTTCCATTTTAATCTCTAGGAAAGTAATCCCCTATGTAAAATATATATAAAATATCTTTCTAACCGGAGGTGAAATGTTTTATCCCTACCGTGTTATAAAACAATACAGCAAACTCCAAGAATCTTTAGAGATTTTTGTCAAAGTATGGAATTATACAGTTATGGAGGAAACTTAAAGTCAGTGTATTAGGAGGAGTTATTTAAGGTAGAAATAAGCTTTTTAAGGTTATGGATGCCTTTGAAAATCTGATGAAGGCCATTACAGATTCTCCCCCATGCATAAATATAAATCTGTGCATATAATTTCAAGCAGTGCAATGACTATAAAGTGACTGTGGTTCCAGGTCGAGAACCCAAATATCTCATCTAAAACAGAAGACCCATGTAAGTGTCAGAATTGACTGTAAGGTCCTAGAGTTCAAAGGCTGACAGACAATAAGAACTTGCTTTCCAGGAGGTCAAGGCCAAGAGAACCAAGACGATGGTGCCACTCCCTAAAACCAAGCTCCTCCCTGCCTCTGTGTGCGCTCTGAGGACCGTCAAATCCATTTAACTGTCCAAGAATTGAAAGAAACCTGTCTCCACACCCCTGCCCAGAACAATTTACTGCTTTTTCCATGGTCTTCAGGAGGGAGACCTGACCTCAGTTCAGCCATTGCTACTCTCAGGGACATAGGAATTCTCTCTGCAGTCCACAAAACAGGTTGGACTTCCTAGAAAAGTATTCAGTAGACAACAGTGAAAAATATAAGCAAGCCACACTCAGAGGGGTAAGATAAAACCAGAAAAGGGCATGGCAGTGATGCTGATTCCTCCAGTCTTCCCTTCAACTAGTGTTTGTGTTGTGCAGCTATCCTGGTAATGGGTCAGGTGTCATAAAGACCATGATCAGAAGGCAGTGATAGTAGACAGTTTCCTGGTGCAGAAGGCTGGGTCTTACATCCTGCATAGAACACAGCAAGACTTCCCTAAGTAGGCAGCGCTTAAACCAAAACATGAGAGGTTAGAAAGAATTGTTCCTCCCATCCTACATGGCGGGTAAGGAGAGCGTGCCAGGCGCAGTAAGGAGAGCGTGCCAGGCGCTTGAGAGCAGGACAAGCCCAATGTCCGTGAAAGATGAAGGAAAGGCATTGTGGCTCAAGGACAGGCTAGGAGAGATGGAAAGGCCACAGTGATGGTGGAGAGGAGGAACGGTTGACAGTAGAAAGGAGCTAGGATTTTTCTTTGAAATGCAGTTTTATTTAAGAATCAATGGAAGAGTTTTCAGCAGCAGAGAAATATTACTGCATTTCTGTTTTTAATGACCTTGGGGCTGCCCTGTGGACAACAACTAGGCCAGGGCCCTCAGCACCAGAATAATAAATAATGACAGAAGCCAAGTGTGGCCACGCTCCTGTAATCCCAGCGCTCAGAAGGCTGAGGCAGGAAGATTGCCATGAGTTTAAGGTCATCCCAGACTACATAGCAAGCCTCTACCTGGACAAAATTAAGAATAGAGGGAGAAGATGAAAATGAACAGCAGCAGAACTACACACAATAGCTAAGATGTGACCTCTTGTTTCTCTTGTGATCAGTATGGACTTGAAGTTCATTTTATCTGCAATTAACATAGCTATTTCTGCTTTTTCTCCAGGTTTTTGTTATATGAAATATTGTTTTTCATCCTTTGACTTACAGTCTGTCAATTTCTTTTTGAATTAAAAGGGTTTCTTGTATGCAGCATATTTATGGATCTTGCTTCTTGATCCATTCTGCCAGTCTGTTTCTCTTGACGGGTGAATTGAGAACACTATAACTGACATATATTGGCTTATCCTTGTCCTGTTATTTCCATGTTGTTGGTTCCTTGTCTTTTCTCTGTCTTTAATTGCTTTCCTTGCCTAGTGACTTCTTTCTATTTATGATCTTGGAATTGTAGTCTTTGTTATCTCTTTCTAAAATATCCTTCAAAACATTCTGGAGAGCTGTTTTGGTAGTCATGAATTTCTTTAGTTGTTGTTGCCATGGAAGTATCTTATTTCTCCATAAATTTTGAAAGATAGTTTTGCAGAGTCCTTTAGTCTGGGTTAGATCTTGTTTTCCTTCAAGACTTAAAATATTTCAAGCTCTCATGGACTTGTGGATTTTTATTGGGAAGTTTGCTGTGATACTGATGGGCTTGCCTTTACAGGTGATCTGTCTCTTTCCTCTAACAGCTTTTAGTATTCTATTCTTTCACTGAATTTATGACATTTTGATTATTATACACCTCACCATGGGTTTATTTTGGTCATGGGTAATTAAATTTTGAATTTTATTTAAAGAGAACAAAGCCCAACAGAACAAAACAGAATAAAGCCAATCAAAACACAGCAGTGAAAGTTGTACAGAACTTCAAAACAGGACAATAGGAAATCAGCAATGGTTAGCATAATATATCTTGCTATCTTCACAATAGTTGTCCATACCATCAGACATAATTAAACAAAACGAAACAGAATAAAACCAATCAAAACCATAACATTGGATAAAATAAAACAATAAATTGGAACAAAACAAAACAGTGTGGACAATATTGTGCATTGTTATCTTCAAAATAGTTGTTCAGGTTACCAGACACGGGAATAAAAGGAAACATTAAAGTGGAACAAAACATTGGATTTCAAAAACAAGATAGGAGGACATTCCCCACAGTTGACACAGTACACACTGCCATTCTCCAAGTAGATGCCCAGACCACCAGCCCCAGGCCTGCAGTCAACCAAACAATACAAGCGTTGAGCTATTCCCTTCCCCTCAGTTGCTATGGTCTCACCCTGAGTCTTCCAGATAAATGGGGAGAGGGATGAGCTGCTGGTTTTTCAGCCCACGCACCAGCTGGCTCACGAGAAGGCATAGTTTCTCTCCTGGCTAAGGTTCTTTCCCATCAACATAGCGGAACTTGCTTCATGGGAAGGCTTAGTGTCTCTTCCCTCTCCCATTACTTTTGTGAGCAGGTTTTTTATGGCATTTATATAGTCTTCTGCCTTTTCATTGATTACAATCAAATTTATGTTGTTGTTCTTTGTATCATCTTGCAGTTATTGGGTTGATTTTTCATGGTCCCTTGCTATTTTTAAGAATTCTTTCTTTTTGTGATCACTAAGTGAAATTCTGTCTTCTAGATTTGATATTCTGTCCTCACCTTGATTCCATCGGCTGCACATGCTGTCAATGGAATTTTTAATATCCTAGATAACCGTATGGATCTGCTTCCTGGATTTCATTTTCTTTCCCATGTTGGGCATTCGTGGTTTCCCTAATTTTCATGAGCTCTTCTATTTTTTTAACCTGTGTCTAGATTCACTGAGCCACTTCTTCATTTTGATCATCTCTTTTTTTTTTTACCTGAGATTATTTCTGTGATCTGATTTTCTCTATAGTTTTATTCATCCGTTTTTTTTTTTTTTTTTTTTTTTTACTTCTGCCATTACCATATCAGAAAACTCATGTGAGTGACTTTTGATTTCCTGTATCTTGTTATCCCTGATCTTGTCCTGGATGGGCTGGAGGTCTGGGGTTGCCTTTTACATCTGCATCTTGTCATTTTCTATTTTTTAAATTTTAGTTTGTTTTCTGTGTTAATGCTTGTATTTCTTATGGTAGATAGCTTTATCACTAATATTGAGGCTTCCTTTGGCAATGTCTGTTCTTCAGAGATATCTTTTATGGGTAGCTGGCTCTTGGTCTTTGTATCTGCCCTCTCTATTAGAGATGGGCAGATCCCACCTGCCCAGTTTATTAGAGATGAGGAGTTGCTATTTGGCTCAGTACCTCATCCTTTTATGTTGAACTATGGTGCTTATGACCCCAGACAGTCACAGTGTTGTCATACACTGTGAAAGAACAGCTAATTACATGTTTGACATTCTGGCAAAAGTAATGCAGTTAGCAATAATAATACCACCAAACACAGCCTAAAAACTGACAAACTGGGGTAACTATTGATTTGGTGCCTTTCATCACAGGAGCAAGATCTACAGATACAGAACAAAATTCAGCATAAACCAGGAACTTATATACAGTGAGTTTTCCCCTTTTACCCTGTAGGGGGGAAATTTAAGAGGATGGGGATAAAAGAGAGATCAATGAGGAGATGTGTAGTACAAGAAAGGCAGGAAGACAAAGGATGATCACCCAGGCTTTGAGAAACTGGAGTGGATGACAAGAGAGAAAGAATGAAGGAGAAAGCAAAAGAATATTGAACTGAATCAGAAAGACAAGAGATAATATTCACTCACATGAAAATAACAAAAAAATCAAGAAAGATAGTTGAAAGAAGGGGAAAAGGTAAGACAAAATAAATAATAAAAGTAAAAAAATTAAACACACACACACAAAGACAGATAAAAAAGGATAATCAAACAAAAAAAAACAATAAGATCCCTCTGGTGTCTGCAGTGTTCTGGAAGTTTCCACTTCAGAGCTGGAATCTGTGCTGGGTGATCTCCCCCAAGACTGCAGTAGGATTAGTGCTGGTTCAGGGCTGATCTTGGCCTCTGGGTGTGGAGCAGGGGCCAGTCTTCAGCCAGTCACTTTCTGTGTGCCCTCAGCGGCCTCCCCATGTCGCCTTACCCTGTTGTCTCTGTGTCGATCCCCCGTTGCTGTGCCACCCTCAGACAGAGACGGCCCGGGGCTGCTCCCAGTCCCATGTACAGCTGGCCCCTGCCGGTCCTTGAGCAGCCTCTTCTTTTCCCCTCCCCCTGGCATGTGTCTCCTCTCACACACTGACCACAGGACAGAGAGCTGCCCTGCTGTTCCACCCACTGCCTTCCCCGCCACTGCTGTAGTCCCTAACCTTGTGATCACCAGAGGTTCCATCTAGCTGCTATGGTGTAAGACTCAAAAAAGAAAAATAAACAAAAAACAAAAAACTGGCAGCCCATCAGGGAGAGAGCAGGCTCCTGGTCACTTGGCCCCATGTGTGCCTATGAAATATGCTCTCAGGTTGCAGTGTCCTCTGATTGGAGGAAGGCAGAAGAGGCGAGGGGCCTTATATACCAACTCTACCTTGTGTGACAGTCCATCAGTTTTGGGGGAACTTTCCAGAATGGCAGTTCCTGCTAGACACTCCAACAGCAGTCCCACAGACAGCCTTGTTGGCTGCTTCACCATTTTATAAAGTCCTCTGACTGTGTTTTGGTAGATCTACAAGTCTCTTATTTCAGACTGATTTTGGCATCGTGATGTATAATCCTCCCTTTTCATCCAGTTACCTTTATTTTTAGTTGCTGAGTAACTCCCGAAGTGCCTCCTCTCCTTTCTCTTTTTTAACTAAATGCTACTTCTCCAGAGACCTATACTTGAAATGAGTTTCCAGGTTGGAGGATGTGAAAAAGGTCCAAATGAGGGAGCTGGAGCTAAACAGAGACAAACTGATGCCTACGTTTTGATGGACCAGGGAGACCCTTCTCTGTTTTGGAGTCAGAGCCTTTCTGTGTCACGTGCTGGTGTGTTATTTTTGTTTTCTTTCCTTCTGACTACAGGGAGAAAATCCATTACATTCGGACCGAGGGTAATCATGGGCTTGAGAAGTTGTCCTGCGATGCAGATCTAGTCATTCTGCTGAGGTAAGGGGATGTGCCTTTCATAATGCCAGAGAATCCAACCTAGGCCACACTGACCCACAGCCACCTACCTGAGCGAGGCTGGATGGAAACACAGGCCATTGTTTCTAGAAGATTCCAGAGGCTGGGACTGAAGTAGGGACCCCAGTCCTCATCACTGCTGATTATCATTGCCTGTGGATCCACAAGAGGGGCATGAAGAGCTCTGTGGAGTTCTTGGTGGAGGATTTGTTGTCAGGGAAATCAGGGCTTTAATCAAACAGGATTTATAAGCAGGCTATGCCTATTGTACTACCCCTAAATCAAATTACTCTTGTTGCTTGATTAGAACTCTTTACTACTATGACCTGATTTGTAGGCACTTTCTCAGAGAATTAGAGAACTAAGTCTTTTCTTTAACTTTGCAGTCTTTTTGAAGAAGAGATCATGTCCTACGTCCCCCTGCAGGCTTCCTTCCACCCTGGGTACAGCTTCTCTCCCCGCTGCTCACCCTGCTCCTCACCTCAGAACTCCCCAGGTAACCTGAGACTCTGGCCTGCTACTGTGTGCGTGCGTGCGTGCGTGCGTGCGTGCGTGCGTGCGTGCGTGCATGCGTGTGTTTCCACCAGTAGAAGGGAATTCATGGGCAGTGTATGTGTATCCTTTCTCTTTTGATCCCTCTGAATTTCCTTGTCAAAAATACACTCTTTAAATTGTCACAGTGCTGCCCATTTTTATAATGCCCTAAGCCAGAAGAGGGTAACTTTTAAAATAAGAAAAAGAATTTAAACACAATGTTTCAAAACATACAAAGATGCTAAGAAACTCAAACCTTAGTGTCCATAAATAAAGCTTTATTAGAACCCAGTCATTGCTGACCATGCGTGTATTTTCTATGGCAGCTTTCACACTACCGCAGCAGAGATAAGTGTTAGCAACAGAAATCGTGTGGCCTACAGATTCTAGGTTCTGTACTGGCTGGCTTTTTACAGAGCAAGTATGCATCCCCTGCTCTTAATCACTATTGAATTTCAAAGATCTTCTCCAGACATTTCAAAGGAAAGGTGTGTCCTGAAACACCTAATGCCTCGGAATTCTCTTGAATACCAGTTCTGGTAACACATTTGCTGGAGACATTATTATTTCTCTGCAGAAGGTTTTCTTGTGTGCCCCCTATGATTTTTTAATATAAAATAATGAACTTATCCATGATACAAAAATTCTTTGCAGGTATTTGCTACTCCAAATGAGAAAGTACATATTGACCTGCTTGTTTGGTGAAAAACAAGTATCTCCTACAGTCATCAAGAGAGTGGCCTTACTCCAAATGTGTACACAAAACTGATCCAAATATTGGAGAATTTACCCCTTTTCATTTGGCTTACATTATAATATTGTTGTAGGTTTCTATGATTTCTCTTTGTCACTTTAAAAGTGATAGAGCTTTGTTTGAAAAATCTAGGACCAGGGTCCTAGTTTGGCTTTTGATACCAGTAGGGAAATTAAGAAGAGATACAGAATTTAACAGTGTTGTCTATGTTTTGAAAGGACTCTGTCACTCAGAATTATTGCCCTAGATCTTTAGAATTATAGTATCATTTAGTTTGGTTTCTCCAAGTTGTATCATTCAGACCTACCTCTTAAGAGAGTTTTGTTAGTTGCTAAAATCCGTTTTTAAGATTGTTGTCTCTTCCTCCTGACAAGTGTATCAAAGACATTGTGAAAGAAATGCCCAGTGCATGCTACCACTGTGTATTAATAAGCTTTCCCATTTGTGGGACACAGTACCCAACACCCACAATTTAAAGGAGGTCAGGTTTCATGGGACTCATGTTTTAAGGGAATTCAGTTCATGATCAGCTGGCTATAAGCAGAAACATGATGGAAAGGTGTGATAGAGCAAAGATGTTTAGTTCATGGCAGATCAGGGGAACAATGCAGAAATTCAGGGTCAGGAAATCAGCTATTGACTCAAGGTCACCTCTCTATGATCTACTCACCCAAATCTAAAGGTGTGCTTTACTAATCCTTATAAAGGGAACACTCCAAGAGGAAGAGATAATAATCATAAATATACATGCAACAGTACACAGAACTATATAAAACAAATATTAACAGACAAGAAAAATCAAATGAGCATCAATCAAATGGAAATCTCAGTATCCCACTGTTGCAAAAAGACAGATCAACTAGACAAAAAATCTACAATGAGATATTAGAACTGAATTAAACTTTTGAACAAATAGACGTAGTAGATATCTATAGAATGTTCCACTCCACAACACCAGAATACACATTGTTCTCACCTGCACATGGAGCATTCTCAAAAATAGACCACATAGTAGAACATGCTTAAGTAAATGCAAAGGAATTGAAATTATCCCATGCACATTATCAGGCCATAGTGCAGTTAAGTTGCAAATCAATTGTAAAAGAAATTACAAGAACTTCTTAAATACATGTAAATTAAATAAAACCCTCCTGAGCAACCAGTGGGTCACAAAAGAAATTAAAGAAGTTAGACAATTTCTCCAATTAAATGAGAATGACAATACAACATATTGGAACTTATGGGGCATAATGAAAGCAGTCCTAAGAGGGAAATGTATAACAGTGAGTACTTACATCAAGAAAACACAGCAAGTGCACATGAACATGTAATGTTGAACCTCAAACTTCTAGAAAATCAAGAGCAGGCCAATCTCAAAATTCCTAATAGGGAGGAAATTATAAGGATTGGAGCAGAAATTAATACATTGGAGTCTAAGAAAACGATGCAGAGAATTAATGAATCGAAGATTTGGTTCTTTGAAAGATTAAATACAATCAACAAACCCTTAGCAAACCTTATCCAAAAAAAGGGAAGAAATGATTCAAATCCAGGCAATTAGAAATGAAAAGGGTGAATTCACAACAGATCCTGCTTAAAATCAGAAGATCATCTATACTAACTATGAGAACTTGTATTCTAGTAAGATGGAAAATACTGAAAAAATGGACAGATTCCTAGATACGTAAGAATTATCAAAGCTGAGTTAAGAAGAAATAAAAATCCTAAATAAACGAATAATCATAATATAACTAAAAACTTACTGTCTTGGTTACTTTTTACTGATTGCTGAGACAAAATACCTGATGTCCAAAGTTGGGAATGAAAATTTATTTCTTACAGCTTTTAGAGGTTTCAGTCCATACTCAGTTGGCTCCAAGGCAGCGTGGCATGGCAGGGCTGGAGTTCATGGCAGCTGCAAACAGCAAGGCAGAAACTGGCAAAAAAGCGAGACACATCTTCTTCCTGCCATTATATCCCACCCCTATGTGGTGTAGCACTGACACCATCAATCCAAGCACTAGACAATGAACCAATTGCAAATGCATAATGTAAATGCATGAGGCCTGGGGGCCACTGACATAAACCATGACATTTCACCCTTGCACCCCAGGACTCACGTACATCCTTTATACAAAAGACATTTAGTCCATCTCCAAGAGTTGCCAAAGTCCTAACATTTTTAGCATTGCTGAGAATTCCAAGTCCCAAATCTCCTCTAAGATTTATGGCAAACTCTTAACTGTAACCCCTTGTACAAATGAAACAGGGTTTAACATCTCTGAAATGCAAAGGCACAAGATAAACATTACCATCTCAAAAGTTACAAAAGGGAATACAAAGCATTGGAAACAAGGCAAGTCCAACATCCAGCAGGATGAACATTAAGTCCTAGAGTTCCAAGCTCAGCATCTGAAGCAATCTAGTTTCAAGCTTAAGAGGTTTAAGTGATTCCACCCCAAAGGCACTTCCAGGGATTTTAGCTCCTGCAGCTTTTCTCTTAAATGCTCTCTGCTCGCTTTTTGCAGTGCTTTCCTTGAATCATCCACATTTTTGGCTTTTTCAGACTTTTGAGGTCTCCACTGCACCTTTGGTTTCACCTTTACATCTTTACAAACTGCCCTCTCAGGGGCACACTGCTTGGTCTCCCAGGCTTTTTGTAATCGAGGTGCAAGCCGTCTTACCCTCAGAAATTGTGCATTTTCCTTGCATCTAAAATCAGCACCATGTGATGCTGCCAAGGTTTGCTGCCAACTGGAGCAGTAGTCAGGCTTTTCTCTCTCTTGGCTGGAGGGGTCGATTGCTTGGATCGTTGGGTTCTGTGAACTTGATTGTGAAGAAAAGCTTTTCTATGTTGCTGCCATTTTGGAACCTCATGTGGCCTCTGTCGCCATTCTGGAGCGTAGTACTCTGCAGCTTTTTCCTCTGAGCAAATTCACTTTTGCAGTTTTGAGGCTGCAAAGGGTGGAGACCCACTGCTTCCTAGGATGCCTGCGGCCATCTTTTCAATGTCTCTGTTTCTCCTCAGCAATCAAAGTCTCATCTCTGTCTTTACAATCCACAACTTTCCTGGAATTTTCCTTCTGGCCAAATTCACAGAGTTGTAAATTGTCCTGCTGGGTTCTTTGCTCTTAATTTGCAACTTAAAGCTGGATAAAAGCCCCCAACATAGCCACAAGAAATTTAGAGAAGACCTAACACCACTACTTGCCAAATTCTTTAATAAATTTGAAAGAGAAGAAATACTCCCAAATTCATTCCTGAAAGTAAGCCTTGCCCTGATACCAAAACTGGAGAAGGACCCAACTAAGAGAGAGAACTACAGGCCAATCTACCTAATGAAGTAGATGCAAAAATCCTCAATAAGATACTTGCAAATAAAATACAACAAATCATCAAGAAAATTATATACCATGACCAAATTGGATTCATTCCAGGGATGCAGGCATGGTTCAACATATGTAAATCATAAATGTAACACACCATAATAACGGGGCCAAGGACAAAAACCATATGATCATCTCAATAGATGCTGAAAAAGATTTTGACAAAGTCCAACATGCATTCATGATAAAACACCCTAAGCTGCTCCAACTCTATGCATCCAGGCAACATGTCCGAATCTTTCCAAACTCTGGAAAATTGGAATAGTGATTCTATCTCAATCTGATAAAAGCCATCTATGACAAACCAACAAGCAACATCATACTAAATCGTCCTAAACATAAAGCTTTCACTGTAAAATCAGGAACAAGACAAGAATGTCTACTGTCTCCTCTCTTACTCAACATAGTCCTGGAAACTTCAGCCAGAGCAAATAGACAAGAGAAAGAAACAAAATGAATAACAATAGGAAAGAGAGAAGTCAATTATCATTATTTGTGGATGGCACATTACTCTATATAGAAGACCCCAAAAACTCCACTAAAAGCCTGCTAGATTTAATAATCAACTTCAGTAGCATAGCTGGATGCATAGTCAACATTCAGAAATAAATTGCTTTCCTGTACATAAATAAAAAACTCACTGAGAGAGAAATTAGGGAAACAACACCTCTCACAATAACCTCCAAAAATATTAAATGCCTAAGAATCAATCTACTGAAGTGTGTAAGAAAACTAGAGAACTACAGTACTCTGAAAAAGGAGATTGAAGGGATATCAGACAATTATACTACTAATTTCATTGAAAAGAAAAGTTTGTACTATTATTGTTTGGACAATTAGGTGCCTCTATTTTGTGGTCTGAGTAACTAATTTAAAGATAACAATACACAATATATTAACCATTATTACTCTCCTACTATCTTGTTTTGAAATTTTGCTCTATTTTTTTCTCTTTAAAATAAACTTTAAAAAAACATAATTCTGCATATATTACTGTAGTATGGTGCTTTTAATTCTTTAGGGAAGATATCAAGAAGGACAATATCTGGATCGAATGGAAACTAGTTTTAGTTTCTTGAGGCATGTCCACAGTGATTTCCTCAGTGGTTGTACCAGACTACACTCCCACAAACAGTGGAGAAGGATTCCTTTTTCTCCACAGCCCCACCAGTATTTGCTATTGGTTGATTTCTTGATAACAGCCTTTCTTTCTGGAATGAGATGGAATTTCAGTGTTGTTTTAATTTGCATCTCTCGAATGACCAGTGGTGTTTGAACATTTTTTCATTTCTTGTCATTTCTACTTCTTTGTCTGAGAAGTGTCTATTTATTTCAGATGTCTATGTTTGGATTGAGTCTTTACATTTGAGGTTATGATTTTTTTGAGTTATTTATTTATTCTAGATGTTCATACTTTGAGGAACAGGTGACAAAGTATTTTTCCCACTCTGTAGGTTGCCTCTTCATGCTGTTGATGATGTCTTTTGCTGTATCAAAGCTTCTTCATAAGATCCCATTTGTAGATTCTTTGTGATATCTTCTGCATGATGAGAGTTTTATTCATGAAGTCTTCACCTACACCTATGTCTTCAAGAGCTCTACCCATTCTATCTTTCAGCAGATTTAGGGTTTCTGTTTTACTATTTAGATCTTTGATCCATTTCAGTTTTAGTTTCATGCATGGTGACAAATATTGGTCTAGTTTTAGCCTTCAGTGTGTGGAAAGCCAGTTTTTCCAGCACCATTTACTAAAAAGTCTGTCTTCCTGCCAGTGAAGGTGCTTGGCCCCTTTGTGGAACACAGAGTCCAGTGGTGGAGTGTGTTTGGAGTTGTCACTGCATCTTCTCACCTATTCCATTGGTTCTTGGGTTCATTCGTTTGTTTGTTTCTTTGTTTTTAGTACCAGGCTGTTTTTATCACTGTGCTTTTTGTGAATGGTGACTGTTGGTCCCCATGCACCCCAGGCATTGGTGGCTTCCAGGTGGGACTTGGGTCCCCCAAGCTTTCTTGCTTACACCACTCAGTGGAGTCTGCTGTGCCCATGTCTCCTAATCTGTCATTCTTAGAGTTGTGTTACTCATTTCGTAGTTTTGCTCATCTTCCCAAGTTCTTTCATCATCTTCGATGATTTCAACATTCCTGGGCCACCTGGTCTCCCAGACAGAGTATGGATCAGCGTAGCTGTAACGAGCTTCTAGTCACCTCAGCCCCTTGTCTCCACAGTGACACTCCTGACCTCACTGTCTCTAAAATCACCGGCTCAAGCATCCTCTTCTCTTCTGACTTGCTTGCTCGGCTGCTCTCTTACACCATATTTTGGCTTCATCAGGGCCTCCAGCTCCTGGAGTTCTCTCCTTTCTTTTCTTCGTCTCTGTGGGTCATTGTTTCAATAACAGCCTCGCCCATGCCCTGAGCTCTCCTTGTTCTGTACATTTTATCTGTGTCCTCTTGAACAGCTCCACCACCAGGTAAGCCTTCCTGTCTGCTTTCTGCGTATCTGAAATCAGACATTATGGTTTAGTTCTGTAGTGTACCCTAAAAGGCTCGTGTGTGCAAAAGTATGTGCTTTTGAAAGGAGAATGAATTATGCATTAGGAGATTAATCTGTAGCTCAATGTGCTGTTGGAAGGTGAGGTCTCTTGAGAAGAGGGGAATCAATGGGGATGTGAGCTGGAAGGGTGCCTCTCTCTCCCTGGCTCCTCCCGTCTCTCTCAGCTTCCTGGCCACTGTGATGTGAGCAGCTGTCCTCTTCCATATTCTTCCTCCATGCCATTTCTGCCTTAGAACCAGGTTACTTGGGACTGAATCCTCTAAAAGTCATGAGCCAAGATAAACCTCTCCTCATTTAAATTGTAGGTACTGGATGTTTTGTACCAGCAACAAGAACATGACTAAGACAGACCTTCTTGAGCAGATTCGCTTGACAGGGCAGATAATTCATTGCAAGTCATCACTGGTCTCTCTCCACATCAACCTTTAGCATCTGAAGGAAATTCCTAGCATGTTTCTTTGGGTTTCTATACTGCTATTTCAAACATTTCCACTTGCCTCCACCCTCCAAGCCCCTGCATCCCTTTCTCTATCTTAGCAAATTGTGTTCCTGTTTATTTCACTGGGAAAATCAGTTCTCCCACAGAACCCTTCTCAGATGCCTGCTTTGAAGCCTACAAGATGCCAGACTTGCACTCATCTTGACTTCCCCAGTGCCTGTCCATGAGAGGAGGAGCCTTCCAAGCTCACCAGGACCTCTGGTCACCTGCTGTCCTGCCTAGGTCTTGGTCCTCCCTCTGATCTCTCGGTGCCTCTTGATATTACTGGCTGCTGTCCCCCGATGTCATCTCTTCAGTGAGCTTCAGTGACCCCACTCAGGCAGGGCATCTTCTCTGATGACTCTTGCAAACTCTTCCTCCTCTTCCATGACCCTCAAGGCTCACTCCCAGCTTTTTGTTTTGTTTTTTTCTCTACTTCCTCAAATTATGTCTCTGCAGTCAATCAAAAAGCAAACTCATGATCTTCCCCCAGAAATCTGTGATTTGTCCCCTGTTCCGCATCTTAGCTAATACCGCCTCAGTTCCTTCAATTCAAACTCTAAAACACACCTCTGCCTCACTCCTTGTATCCAGTTAATTGTTTCCTCACTAATTTCCGGTCTCTTCCCCTTCCCTCTGCTCATCTTCATTGCATCCACACTGGACTTAGTCAGTGTGACCGGTCTCAATGTCCCCTGGTTCTCTCCAGTCTTTTCTCTATATAGCAGCAGGAAGTCACACCATGCCAGCCTTCATGCAATGGTTTTCTGTTACAATTATCAGAAAACAAAATTGCTTCACCCACTTCTCAGAACTGGTGTGTTTCCTGCCCACCTCTCAGAACTGTTTATGATAAACAGTTGTTCTGTGCTCCAGACAAACGAGAGCATTGCTTTCCGTCTGGCCACATGGGCTGGTCTCTGAATTAGTCTTCTCCCAGCTCCTCTCTTTTCTTAGGTAAAGGAAAACTTCCCTGAATGTAACTGTCTATGTGGTACCCACTTCTCTGTTTTTCCCCAGGGAATGGTTCCTGGGCGTGGCCAGCAGGTTCCGTGTCCTCAAAGAACTCTGTTCTCTTTCTTCATGGGTAGCAACCTTCTCGACCTGTAACAGTGTACTCATTTCTGTGCATTTCCTAGTGTAAGTCTTCTCCGGACTGTAAGTCGAAGAAGTGTCTGGAATACTCCGATAGTATGCAACTAATAAACAGCTGTTCATTAGGTGAACCATGATTTTGGCCATCTGTAAAACTTGGATAAGAATGTTTTTCCATTTCCCTTTTTATTAAAAAGTATGCAAAGGTAGTGCAGCATTTGCTAAATGCTGTCTATAGTCAATGAAGTATTATTATTATTATTGTTTTTGTTGTTGTTGTTATTGTAATAAATTTTGCTCTTATGATGCAAGATAATCTAATCTAAGTTCCTAAATGCTCTGGGCCTAGTGGGCAGATATGTTTCTCCTAGAATCAACATTAATATAAAAGCATGACAAACATATACTAAAATGCTGTAGTCTCATTACAGTTTTAATCACTTCTTAGAAGACAACAACTTACAAGAAAAGTGTAGTCCAGTGCAGTTCAATTAGCTGTCTCTGATTAATTGTCCAAGTACAATTAAACCAAGAAAATATGCATCAGGATCCTTTTAATAGAAATACATTTTGAACTGATTGGTATGGAGGGCAAAAATATTGATTCTTATCAGGGTGCATGTTTTCTGTTTATTATTTCTGTGTGTTAAAAAAAATAAGGGAGGGCATCATGGAAATAGAGACTTCTTGACATCAAGCCAGGAGCTGCAGGAACCTGCATCTGGCAGGTTCTGGGCTCACCTTGCTGTGCGTGTTTGTCCTTGGATAGAAAGGTAACGAGCTGTGGGCCCTTGTGCTCCTCTGCAGGTTTACAGAGAGCCAGCGCAAGAGCCCCTTCACCGTACCGCAGAGACTTTGAGGCCAAGCTCCGCAACTTCTACCGAAAACTAGAAGCCAAAGGATTTGGGCAGGGTCCAGGGAAAATTAAGTGAGTGCTTCAGTGTTTGGCACTGAACTAAAATTGGAGACTTTTCTATCTCGTCATCCTTTATATTCGTGTCACACTTTGTGGAGACTGGATATCCTGGTGTGATAGCAGTTATGGTATAAAGGGAGGAAAAAAGGAAGCAAGGAAGTTGGCAGGAAAGAAAAAAGGAATATAGGAAATTGGAGGGGAAGGAGAATGAAAGGAAGAGGGTAAAGAAAAGAGAATAGTACGGTTTAGACAAAGTCATGCATCGCATCAATAGTAGATTTTTTTCAGGAAACAGAAGCTTATACTAAATTTTAAAAACCCTGTATGTTTCCTTTTATTTATTCTTGGACAAAATTTAACTGTAGTCAAGTACATGGACCAGTGATTTTGCAGTTAAAGTCCAAATAAAAAAGGATTCTGAAAAATTACCTCTGGCTCTACTATTTTTATCTTAAGAATCTGAGCCCATATTCAAGAAACCAGCTTGAGAGACTACCAGGTATGGGATGCGTATACCTGGAGGCTGAGGCAGGAGAATACAGCTTCAAGCTCAGGCTGGGCAACTTAGCAACTTAGTGAGATCTTGTCTCCAAAGCAAAACAAAAAGTGGGGGATTTGAAGTTATAGCTCAATGTGAAGGTCCTGGGTTTAATTCCCAGTAGCACACACAAAAAGAAGATATCCTAGGAACTGATCAAAAAGCAAAAAGAATCCTAAAGTAGTCCAGTGCAATGGGATGTATCAGTGATAAGCACAGCTGTTTCCCTCCTCTGCAATGTTTTGAAAAGTGTCACTCCATCAGCTTGGGGGACTGTGCCTTGCCCTTCCCTCTCCTTTGGAGATGCTGTGGAGGGAGACCATGAAGCTGGGCGCTCACAACTCACATGCAGACACCGTCTGGCATCCTCTCTTCAGAGCCGCCACTCACCACCACCGCTTCTGTCCTTCTCAGGCTCATCATTCGCCGGGACCACTTGTTGGAAGGAACCTTTAACCAGGTGATGGCCTATTCCCGCAAGGAGCTCCAGAGGAATAAGCTCTACGTCACCTTTGTTGGAGAGGAGGGGTGAGGAACCAGAAATCTCACACACACCCCTCAGTTTGAGCAGACCAAGGCCCCAGGACCAGGGTGGTTTGTTTTTGTTTATTTTGTTCTTGTTTTGTTTTGCTTTGTTTTGTTTGAGAAACAGGGCACCTATAAGCCTGGGTCTCAAGATGACTCTGATCGTGTCCTCCCAAGAGGTCTCCTCTCTCCAGCCGTCATGTTCTTCAAACTTTGGATGCCACATTCCAGGGCTGGGGATGTAGCTCAGCAGCACAATGCCTGCCTAGCAAACACGAGGCTCTGAGTCTGATTCCCAGAACCAAAAAAAAAAAAAAAAAAAAAAAAAAAAATAGATGCCACATTCTTTAAAATCCTACATTATTGGCATTCCAGAGTCTGTGATCACATGATCTCAAAGTAGAAGTCAAAAATAGTCTTAAGCCACTTTCTCTTTACTTTGTAAGTGCTGTGCCCTGTTAAGTATCTGATCAGAAAACACTTCTTTTGAAATTGCACATACAAAAAAAAAAACACATACCAACATTTTCACATACTTTTTGTGATTTTGTGGAAATCATTTAAGTGTGGCAGGCAGCCCGCTTACTAGGGGGTGTTGGAATATACTTGAAGCTTTTCCGGTTCACCCATATACACATGCACACACAGATGCACACAGGCATAGCTATAGGAAATTCTTTCATGCTTCTCACAGCAAAGGTCTTGTTTGTAATGGGCCAGCTCTGAGTATTATCCCTTAGGTATTAAAGGATTGGGAAGCAAAGATTAAGGACCATTGCCATGAGAGTTCTATTACGCAAGTCTAGTTAACCCCTCAAATCAATAATTACAATTTCATTTTCCACTGCAAATTGACACCTCCAGGATCTACTCTAAAAGGCAGAGACTGCCCTGCTTTCCCCAGTGCCCCCGACTCTGAAAGAGCTCACTAGAATCTGGATAAGAAACTATCCCTTCGGGGCTGGGGATTTAGCTCAGTGGCATAAACGCCTGCCTTGGAAGCAGGTAGTCGTGAGTTCGATCCCTGGTACCAGTAAAAAGGAAAAAGACAAAAAAAAAAAAAAAAAAAAAGAAACTATCCCTTCACTTCTGGACACAAAATGAGCTTCCTGGACCTGTTCTTCCTTTGTAGCCTGGACTACAGTGGTCCTTCTCGAGAGTTCTTCTTCCTTTTGTCTCAGGAGCTCTTCAATCCTTACTACGGACTCTTCGAGTACTCTGCGAATGACACTTACACGGTGCAGATCAGCCCAATGTCAGCGTTTGTAGAAAACCATCTCGAATGGTAAGATTTACACTATTCACTTTCTTGCATTTGAGAGTCCCTGTCTTTCTTCAATGTCAGTAGTATTTCTTTAAGGTTGCTGCTTCTAAACAGTCAGCTAGATATTAGGAGAGGAAGCAACAATGAATAACATCAGCTTAGAAGGGAGAATGGGTTAGTCTTCACCCAGAACACAAGATAAATTACTAAAGACACTGATAGTACAACAGCGGCAAACATGTACAATAGTATAGTTGCCTCCTTAGGATATACTAAGAATAAAAAGATGTGAGTCATGAGTGTTGATAATTTTACCAAAATCATAAGAGTTCCCAATGGAGGCTTCTCAGCAGTGTCTAGGTTTGAAATTCACTCTGATTTGGACCAATAAGTTTCGCATCAGCCTCTACATTTTGAAAAATAAATCTGCTGGACTAGGTAATCGCCAAGCATCCTTCCAAACTGAAAATCCAGCACATCTTTGGTTGTCTGCTGTGGAGGCTGAGTGACGGATGTTTGAAGGTATCAGCCAATTCTGTGCAGGTTCATGGACAACATACCTTCAGTGTAGATCCAAGACATCTCTCGAAAGCTGCATGGGACATCTAGGGTACATGCACAATTCTGCTATCTCCCCACCCTGCCTAATTTGAAAATGACCCCAGATCTCACTGGAAGAGTGATGGGGATGTAGGTCTTTTCTAACATCACTTATTTATGCTATTGTTAAAGGGACTCACTGGGGTGAGCCCAAGCCCCAAAGTTTTGTCAACATAGCATCAGATTGTTTACCTTAGGCTTCCAGATGATGACACACACCCCCTGTCTTCCAGCACACTCTGGGCTGTGCCATTTCTGAGCTAAGGGAGTGTGTGTCCATATCCAGTGCCTGACACAAGGTGAAACAAAACATGTCCTTCAGTCCATGGTTTGTCCTGTAACTTGTCAGTAAGCAGATGTGGAGGTCAGTGAGACAGAAACACACTGGCAGGACAGGTGGAGGAAGCTGATCATTTTGGAAGTTATCAATCATCCTAACTACCACGTCTCAGCTGGGTCCTGCTCGGGCAGACTGCATTCCAACAACAGAGCACACCCTAACCCACGACACAATAATAGACCTTTACACGAGTTGTGCGTAGTAAAATCCCTCAACTTTCTCTTGTGTCATGGGCATAAAATTCAAGACAGTATCTTGGAAGTCATGAACTAAGTAATCAAAAGAGATTTGTCATCAAATCTTTCAGCCCTACCTTAAACACAAGTGGGTATTGGGAGTACACAGAGATGGAATGAGTAGGATCCCTTCCCTTAAGAAGGAGCAGTGGGAGGAGCACAAACCAACAATTACAGTGTCCCTTAAATGCTAAGTTATACACACATATGTGTGTATTTGCCTGAGACACATGTATTAAACAGATACTCATCAACTTATGTTCCAACAAACCCATCACAAATAGAACGTACTATAAGTAAAAAATGTATTCACTACACCTAATCTACTGAGCATCATAGCAACACAGGACGTCGAGTGTTACTTGCTTACCTACCTGCAGAACCACACAGATGACTGAGAGCTACGCTCTGCCCAACATGGAGAGAGATTCCCACTGCTTACCACCAGTCCAGAGAAAGGTCAAAATTCAGAGTACAGTTTCTACTGGATGCATGTCACTTTTGCACTGTCTTAAAGTTGAAAAATCAGAAGTCAAACCACAGATTAGAAAACATCTATGTACACTGAAAATATTCTATCACAAGAGAGAATCTCTTTCCACCCAGGTAAGGTGCATGGAGTGAAATCTGTGAATCTACAGAAAGAGAGGCTCATGGGAGAAAGATGAGTTGGGAGACAGAGGTGGGGATCAGAAGGTTGTATCCCCTCTGGAGGATACTATTAAAATGACATCCATGTTTTTAAACAGTGAATCTTATCAGAGTATGGAGGATAAGTCTGAGAAGCTAAGACTGGAATGAATAGAGCAGCTTTGAAACAGTTGACCTGCCAGTGGGAGAAACAAGTCAGAGCTTAGGCAAAGGTCACAACAAGAGAAAGGGACTGACTCCAGGGACACTTTAGGAAGAGGACATGGAGATAGTTCCACAACTACTGGAAAAGGAGTAAGTTCAAGTTTAGGGTTTTAGGTTGCACAACCGTTAGTATTAACTGTGGGGAGAATTATGTGAAGCAGAAGATATTCAGAGGAAAGTGCAGCATTCACTCTGACATGCAGTTTATTGGAGTTCGGGTGACAAATCTATATCTGTTGTAACCAGAATGATAGCCCTGGTTGGCAGGACAGTTAAAAGGCTGGAGAAGGAGATTTTGGAAGACAACAGCATGGATGCACAGCTCAGCTGTGGACCATGAGAGCATCTGGAGCTTGTACAGATGGAGAACAGTGCTGGGGCCCAAAGAGTGGCCAGCACTGATATGTTGGGGTGGGGAGGGCAGAGTACAGGGGTCCCCTTAGCAGGAAGCTAAGCAGGGGTAATCTGAGCTCAGGAAGTGAAGGGGGCCAGAAGGGTGAGAGGTACCAGCACGTGGCCCACTGGGGAGAGGGGAGAATGAGGGCTGAGAAGTCATAAGCCAGAGGATGTAAGCAGAGAGAAGAAAGAGGGCTTTAAGGGCAAAGGGTGGGGAGTAAGTGTGCAAAGGAACTGCTTAATGGCCAAGGGAAGCAGGGTGACTAACTAGAGGGCTGTGACTCGGTATTGTAAAAGAAGCATTGGAGGAGAGAACAAGTCAGTGTGGCCATATGTGAAGGCCTAAGGGAAAACACAGAAGACACACTGGAGTCGTGAGACTGGTCCCTGCAGCTGCAGCTCAGTCCCCATGCTCCAAGTGGCTTTGCCACCTCATTTGAAGGAGAGGACTCTACACACCTTCCCTGTGAAGCTGTCACAGGGTGTCATGGCCTTCGCTTAGAGTTGGACTGTTCTCTGTCAGTGCCTGAAAGAGAATAGACTTTCTCTCTAGTCATAGTATCTTAGATACTTTTCTCTTGTTGCTGAGTCAAAACACCCAACACCCAAGGTTAAAGAAGGATAAGTTTATTTACCTCACAGTTTGTAGAGGATTCAGTCCATAATCAGCTGGCTCCAAGATAAACTGGTTTGGCAGAAGGGGCATCACAGAGGACAGTCCATGGTGCTCACAAGATAGCAAAAGTGACAAAGGAAGAGGGGTGACAAGCCTCTTTTTGTCCCTTGTATTGTATCCAGGCTACTGGGACTAAGACTGGTGCCAGTCCAGTCAGTGAACTGATCCAGCAATCACCCACCGATAATCCTAGCATTGTACCATGGATCAATCACACTCTCTCGATTCAGCCACCTCCAAAAACAGCCCCACTTAAAACTGCATGAGGCTTTAGGGGGACACCTAGACACAAGTCATAACACATAGGCAGGATCAGTGACTTAACCACCTGCATAGACCCTTCTTAGCTTTGAACAGTGTCTTAATCACTTTCTCATCACTGGGACACAGCACCCAACATCTACAATTTAAAGGAGATGGGTGACTGGCATAACTCAGATCTGAGTGAAGTAGCTCTGGCTTTTGTACAAAACCAGGATGCACAGAGTGTCAAGAAATAATGCCCTTAGCGAGTGGGTGCAGCAGCAGCTGCCTGAAGACCTGTCACTGTCATTTATGCTGTCAGGAAGTTCAGGCCACTGAGAAGACCAGAATCCTGAGATCCAAACTCTGATTGCCCAGGACTCATTGCCTGTAAGTCCCTCTTATCCTCCAGTATGAGGGACACAGTTGCCACCTTCCTCACTCCACAGGCAGTCATCACATGGGCCATGAGGAAGACCACAACCATCATAACCTGTCCATCACTCATAGGGAAACACAACAGACAAAGACAGCCCACACTGGGCAAAGCTGGAAATTGTTTCTTGACACAGGGCAAACCAGAGCAAGGTTCAGCCTGGATGGGACATGGAGATTGGCACTACCCCCTGCTCATCTCCTCTTCCTTCTGGAAACAAATAGACATGACCACAGACCAGAAATAAATGTGTCAAAAATGGGAAAGCTTCAGAGAACTCAGTGGCCATCTTAATGAAGATGATACTCATCGTAACACTTCATGGTGTTAAATATTATTCTTCAAGTGACAGCAGTGCCTTCTTTGTCCCAGTACTATTAAGATAAACAGCAATCCTTCCCTCCCTTCTGCAGTTAATTACCACGGGTTCATGCTTTCCTTTTTCATCTGTAGTTCAAACACCCTTGGGATATCAGCAATCAATGCACCATGGTGCCTTAGTGGCTTTGCACCCTGTACAATGCCTGGAGCAGCTGTTACTGAGAGGCAGCCACCTCCTTGTCACTCCACCTCTTTGTCACTCACCAGGAGCTTCTATAACAGCTGCCTCCAGGGTGGACACTGCCAAAAGAAGCCTTATCAGTGCCCTTCCCCAGCAGCATCTGTGTGACTGCAGGGACTGGAGATTCTGTGGCTTTATGCTCACTGTATAGACTTTGTAGCCACTGGAATAGAGCCAGCTAAGTCAAAACCCTCAAACCATGAGACATAGCAATCTCCCTTTTCCCCTTTCGTCATGTGTTGAGAGATACCAAGTGAATAAATATGCTGAAAATTCCGTGCCACATCCATGAAGTAAGCTGGCCTAAAGGGACTTCCTGCAGTTGCTGTTTCATTACTAACTTGCATCACTGATGTTTCAGGCTGATAAGGACCCCATCAAAGCCAGGAGTGGAAATACACAGGCTACTGAGAGAATGCAGATGCAGTCAGGGAGCTCAGGGAGACCAAGAGTCCATCAGGGTCCCTCATGGGAGCTGGGGTCCTGGTGGACACAGAGCGCCTGCCAGGACTGGCCAGGGCAACAAGAGGCCTGGAAATAACACTCACAGTGATTTTATTCCATCCTGCAGTCCCTGTGGTCAAATCATAAGCCAGAGATCAAAGGGCACCCAGTTATTGTAACCCACAGTGACCAGTCCTCAAGATCACAAGGCAGGACAGAAAAACATTAAAAAC